CACAACTCTATTATGAAACAAATTTGAGTTAAGCGGAGGAGAATCATCTGATGGCATCAGATACCAGTTAGTCGCTTTTTGACCATACACCTTACATATTGATATCTAATGAAAGTATTAAGTTGAAATGCCTGTTTTCGAAAGGCTCCCTTCGGCACGGAATGTGTGCCGGGTGAAGTACTCTGGTTGTTTCAACGTATTATATGTCGCCTTGCATATTTACCTATTTACTATTTATGCATAAAATTGTTTGAATTTGAGTAATCTTCATTACAACAGCTCTACCCAAACTTCATCTCACTTTTCGTATTTTTTTAAGACATCCATTCAACCATCCATCGGTTGATTCAGTCGGAGAACGGTAAGTACTGCCGCATCCCAAAGCTCCACTCAAGCGGTCGCAAAGCAGACTGTTTAAGAATGGTCGCAAATTGTAATCTTTAGTGAGAAATGTTAAACAGTTAACTTGCTTAATTTTGCAGGGTACTGTCTCTTTGAATCGCACTGCTCCATGTATTCAATGAGGAATCACAAGCAAAATATAACAATATTGGTTGCAGTGTGGATGGCTTGTAAGTTGAAGTTCGTTTGAAAACTTCATACCAATGTAATATTTAAGACATATGTTTCGTTGATACATGATGTTGTTGCAATAGTTACATCTCTACTTATCCGTTCACATATTTAGGCACCATCGTTGAATCAGTTTCGAGTTCTATCCAATATACACGAGAAACAATGCCCGGTGCGCAATATTACGATGGTAAGAAGTTAAATATCCCAATATCAAAAGAGGCCGGAATTGAACTAATTGAACGATGGACTCATCAGGGGATCAGCAGTATCATGGCTTGTATTGCCACTCAACAGTCAGTTTTTCATATGACCTGCAATCTCATGCAAAGAGGAAATTGTTTCTTCTTGGAAGTTTGAACAATATGACATCAGAGTTGCAATATTTTCTTTACCTTCATCTCAAACTTACTAACTAAATCATTAAATGAAAGAAACAACATTAACATTGCACAATTACCCAAAATTAAAAAGCACAAATTAACGCGTCAAGCCATAAAAATGCCGCCACATTCCAAAGACAATTCCAAAAACACCAGTCTGGAGAATAATAAATGAATTACCGTGTTGAGTGTATGGTATATATATCCGTCATAATACATCCCATCAAAGATTGGTTTTACAATTAGTGCCTTTGTTAGTAGTGTATGTTAATCAAGCGTTCTTTGTTAGCGCATATTAGTGTAGCGTTCTTTGTTGAAGTTCCTGTTAAACAATGAACGCATATATATGATTTCACTGATACAGAAAAGAATTTGAATGGTTTTCAAATTTTAGTCACGATTGATTTGGTAAATACAAATTAGTACATCAGAATACAGTCATTTATAAACCTTTATTTTTTTTATCTCTGAACTTCTTTGAGGTTATCCGTGACATCATGTGTGACGGAGAATCCACTAATATGTATAAATTGAATCGACGCATCGTTTTTTTTTGAAAAATTATAAATTTACCATTTACAAATGGATCCATTGGAATGTCCTCTTTGAATAAGAAACAAAGGCAAAATAAACATCACAAAATAAAAAGTATAAAATAGGAAAAAGATGCAAAGTGAAACATTTCTGAGAAGAGAAGAAATAAACGAAAAAATCTGATATTTTAACTTTCATTTAACGGTTTCTGATTAATATATCATACATCATCCTTCCTCACGCACATTGTCATTCTCCTCTTGTCTGTGCTTGAATTTCTTTTTTTTTTTCAGTAAAAGTTTTAGATCTAACATAATGCGGCAGAAGTATTTAACTTTGTGTATTTGCATTTCCTATTTTAAATTTCGCGCTGGTGCTGTTTCATCCTGCATAATGAAATATGAAGACGTGAAGGTCGTCAGTTATTAATCCTATTCCCGCGCCATAGCCAAATATAAATGTTTCTTTTCAAAATTAGCATATTCTTTGGCAGGAAAATGTTTACTTCAGTCTAAGCAAGTTGAATGAGTACGAACGGAGTCGAATGCAAAGATGTTCAAAAGCTGCTGAGGATATTTATGAACAGGCGCGATGTTTGGTTCGAGCTATTGATGCAGAGCCAAAGCAAACAGATTCTACAAGAAGTAGGCATCGTTTTCTCGCTTTAAGATGTACTTTTATCAACTATCAGTACAACTTTTTCATACCTCTTACGGAGGACATAATCGCTTGAATACTTGTAAATTTGGATCGCATGCATTTATAACTCTGATATCACAGTTCAAGTGGCGCTTCAGTCTAGGAATCCTCAGCTGAAGTGCCACTTGAACTGCTGGTATAGTCCAGTTAATTACTTGGTTTGATTTTTTGATTAATTGAAGCTATTTAACTGATGCTTACTCATCTCCTCACATAGTTTCCCATATGCAAAAGCTGCAAAAATTATTGGATGGAAAGCAAAAGAAGACAGTTGGTGTTTTGATTCGACCTGAATCACATCACATAGATGTGAAACGAAGTAAAGGAAGGGAACAGGTGGAATTTCGCACACGACGAAGTGTAATCAATCGACACAATTATAAGTTACATACCGAATATGAACACTTGACACCTTTCGGCATTCTCGGCAAATACTTATCGAAGATAACAAGAGTTATTAAAAATAAGGATCCGAATTTATCGTTAGTTTTCAGCATTACAATGATTTTCTTAAAAGTTATTGGTACGAAGAACTTTTTTGAAATATACTAAAATTCATTTCATAGAACAAATTTTAGTACCATTTCAAAAAGGAACAGTAATTTAGATGGAAAAAAATGATGTACGACATTGAAAGCATAAAACGACGAGAACAAGAAAAAAATGATTTTGCCGAGCAGTTACAGAAAAGATTTTCACCGAATCAGTATTTTGGAAACGTGGAATTGAAGCTAACACCGGTGAGCACTTTTGAGGAAATTCTCGGATCGAATTCAGTAATTATATGGCACATGGATTGAATTTCTCTACTTCGTTCCTATTCCTGTTCTAACGTATGAATCATACCACAGAATGATCAATAACGAATCTCTGAATGTAAAATTTCCAAATCCTATTCATGAACAAATTATTCTTTCAGGATGAAAAGCGTTTAGCAAGGGAATTACACATATCAGATCATGTCTTGCAAAATTTAGATAAAAACAATGTGAAAACGAAAAAGACCTTGGAAATCATTCGACTCTTCCAACGAGCAGTTAAACTTGCTATCGTTCTTAATGGTGCCAATGGTACCAAACTAGAAAATAAGACACTTAGATTTGGTTCACCACGTCTGTTATCAGTGGTACCTGACAATGTTAAAGATCAGGTAGGCTTACTAATTCTTGATAAGAGAGAATATATGAATTATTCCGAATGTTTTGCACAGTTCGTTTTCTTCACTATTGACCGTTGGCAAATTAGAATAAAATGATAAATTTTTTTTTTTTAGATTAGCATCTTATCTCCATCGCTGTTCAGTATGCATGATAAAGGCGAAGGCTTAGAAGCATTAACCAGTATTCCGGGATTACTGAAAGTTGCCGGTAATAGGGATTACGAGGAATGGCTAAACTTTATTATGGAAGCATCCGGCACAACTGATGCAATACATAAACTAAAAGTTCGAATATGCATTTCTTACTTTCCAGAAGTCTTCGGTTAAACATCAAATTCGATTTAATTATTTGCTGAAAAATATTCAGGAAGAGCAAGAATTGGACTGGTTACCACCTGGCTATAAATCAATGCAACGTGGAATTGATGGTCAGCCGATGTATTTTACTAAGGAAAACGTAACAGAAATTGATCCTGAAATGGCCAGAAAGATGGAACTTTTCGAAAACTTGACACATTCTCTTACACCAAAACAGGTTGGATTGCTTCCCTCATGACACATTTATCAATGATCCATCAACGCCTTCCTGAAAGAAATCCAAAGTGGAAGGACCGAAACCCAAAATTTTCAGATGATTTTCATATTGAGAACTTTACTAGTCTCGAGGCCTTGTCCGAAATAGGGTGAGTTGCAGAGGACAGAAATTACTAACATTCTTAATTCGAGCAAATACCTGACCATTCCATTTAATAATATAAAGTATTACAGTTAATGGACTTCAATACAACCGGATTTTCGATGATGACTCCAAAGCAGCTGATAATGTTCTATGGCCCGCAATCACCTCTAAACAATAGCAAAGCGTTGGATTTCTTCATGTCTTTAAATGAAGATGATATGCATCGTCATGTCCTTAGTGATATCCGTAAAATGGCTAAGATGCATTCTTCCTTGAAAATACGCCGGAAACGGCAAAACGTACTTGCTCCTTCAGTTTTCACCACGAATATTCTTAACCCAGGTGGAGCACCATCCGTCCTATCACCTGCAGTATTTTCGCTAGCACTTCTTTCTCCATCAGTTTTTGGTCCTTCTATATTAAGTCCAGGTGCGTTCCTCGCCACGATCCTGTGTCCAAGTGTATTCAGTCCTGCCGTCTTGTCACCAGTAGCATTTACTACGCTTGTCTTATCACCATTTTCCCTTAATCCCGGCATCCTAAGTCCTGCTGCACTGGCACCGTCCATCTTATCGCCCAATGCGTTATCACCAGGTATTGTATCACCATCTGTACTTTCACCGGCCATTATGTGTCCATTTGCTCTAAACCCTTCCATCTTTTCACCATCAGCGCTTGGCGCTCTAGTCGCAAGTCCATTCGCTCTGTCACCGTCTTTTTTTCTACCATCTTATATTGGTCTGTTAATATTTTCACCGCACGCCTTCTCACCCTCGTTCAATTCGACTGGTAGAG